TTCATCCACCAGTAGCCCCAAGTCCTTCTCGGCAGGGCTGCTCTCAATCCCTTCATCCCCCAGCCTGTATTGATACTGGGGGTTGCCCTGACCCAGGTGCAGGACCTTGCACTTGGCCTTGTTGAACCTCATGAGGTTCACACAGGCCCACTTCTCCAGCTTGTCCAGGTCCCTCTGCATGGCATCCCGTCCCTCTGGCGTGTTGACCGCACCACTCAGCTTGGTGTCATCTGCAAACTTGCTGAGGGTGCACTCGATCCCACTGTCTAGGTCATTGATGAAGATATTATTTTTATAAGGTATTATTTTTATAAGCAACTTTTCCCTCCCGTGCCCTGCTCTTTTCCCCTGTAAAAAAAAAAAAAAAAATCACCCAGTACAAAGAACTAGCTACTGCAAACGATAATAAAAAATTCACTCTTCCTCCACCCGCCCCCCCAAAAAACATAAAACATATCTTCCTGTTTGCTTTCCTTGTACAGGCAGAGATACTGATGCAATCTCTCCTCTCTGAAAAAGGAAATGCCTCTATCTCAGTCTGCATCTTTATCCCCCTCAGCAGCTTGACTAAGCAGATTAAAAGAAAAGACAAGTGCACACTGAAGCAGCATTAAAGCCATAACAAAAAACAACTACTGCCAGTTCAACGGGAAAGGGAAGTAGAGTCTGCTGCAACTGCTTAGAAATTAAAATAGGCTGGAAGAAAGCCAAGACACCAGGTACGCTGTAGGTAGGTATGCAAAGGATCCAGCACCGTCCCCAACCTGTTGTCTGTCTCCCTGGGCTCTGTGGGGAGACCGAGAGATGACAGCTTCTCCATAGCACCCTCTCACCCCCACTTCATTCCTTCCCCCTTGCCTTCCCCACCCCAAAAAAAAGAACAGCTGCTGGCTGTTCCATCACACCTACTGACAAGGTGAATCTGAAACTTGGCAACTGCCAGCCCTTGACAAAGCACAATAAATCAAAGCAGGAACCCACTATTTGTATTTGGGGATGAAAGGAAACTATTCAGCCAATTAAAATATTCTACAAAAAAGAGCAAGCAAGGAAGAAAAAGTACAGTGATATTATCATACTGAGGAAGTATATTTTTAAATGAAAAAGAGTCAGTATTAATTAATTAATTTTTTCATACATAACATTTTGAAACCGTATTTGTATAAACTACTATTCTCATCTATTACTACACAGAACTAGACAAGCAGTTAAAGAAGAAAAAGCACAACATTTCTCGATACTTCTCTTGCTAGCCAGCCACCCTCATCATCTGGGAGATGTTCAACTCTGCCTGCAAAATAACCAATAAGGTACTGCACAAAAGGATAAAAATATTTTGTTGCTCATGTTGGTTATTTGTCACAAAAGGAGAATAAGTATAGAAGACTTATAAAAGAAAAAAAAAAAAAGATGACGTTATGGAAAAACCACAAAAGAGAAGTGTGCTGCATTATGGTGAGCAGTTCTTGTAAAAGGAAGACAAAACAACGCTCCAAAATTTATGTTCTCTGGCTTGTTTCCTCCAGAGCAGATGTGGGGACCCAGAACTTCACATCAACAACGAAACAGATGAGTAGCAATAGCTCCTGTTAGAAATTCACTGAGCACACACTGAAAAATGGTGGAAAAGAACTGATCAACCAATGGGGTATATCATAAATTTGCTTATCATGTAAATACTACCCATAATTTGTCACATACAATTATTATATCTAACTATTTTCTCAAATTTCTTCAAACAAGGCGGTCTAGGAAAATTATGATGGTTCCCTGCAGCCTACAAACCTAAACATGGTTCCCAGTTAAAGGCCACAGCAATCACTTCAAAAATGATCACCAGTTTGTGCGTCAGCTGTAGCAGATGAATATTTAGGAGGTGCTGAATGGATACTCACAGGTGTGCTGAAGTCAACCATACATCTCAGTAACAACTTAAATATCACAGGCCTCATTTGAAAATATAGCTTATCTATGAGTATTGGCTAAAACACTTAACTGTCTTGTAAGGACACACACAGAGAAAGCAATGGTAAGGACTTCAGCTTCATAAAGGTTATTTTTAGCTTTGTAATTCAGAAGAAGTACTTTATAAGTACAAAGAAGTCAGCCTTAAGGTAGCAGTAAACCAGACTATTGGGGGAAGTTTACATTGCTGCAACCTTAGCCAATGCTTTGAATGATACTTAAAAAAAAAAAAAAAAAAGGAAATCAGGAAGAGGTTTAGCACTTAGGGTATCAACTGCTTGAGCTGCTACACTGAGCTCCCAGCAACACAACTCCTCAGTGATATGATCATTCTACCCTTTTCTGCAACAACTCCAGCATTGCCTAAAAATATTTTGTACCAGGGTTTGCAATAGTGTGCTTCCAGCAGCATTTGCAATAGTTATCTTTGTGCAATCTGCCAGATGAATCCACTCACAGTCTCCCTAATGCAGAACACATCTTTCACATGACATGAAATGATTCAGGACACGTGAGAATTTCATCCATGACACAAGGTGAACACAGAAACTCAGTTAATTCCTTATTTTGCAGTGTCTATATATTCTTTTTTTTTGCACTGAACCCTCCAAGTTTGAGGCTAGAAAGACTGCTGGAAGTTACTGAGCACACATTATTAAGTTTAGAGGAACCCAGTGCATTAACTTTACAAGTAATTTTATAACAATACAACTGCACTGCAAACCACCCTCACAGGCACTGTAAACAATGGAAATGTTTTACAGGGGAATAGAAGGTGGGAAGCACTCAGAATATCTGCTAGCCTGGTGGAGCTAACTTCAAGGCTTTTATGAGCTTCACTGTATTTCATGACTTTCTCAAAATCTTAACTCTTGGGAAACTGTGAAAATCTCAGCTTGTTTTTGAAGCTAGGTTTAGTTTCAGAAACACTCTGCACAATCCATTTCTGCCAACAAATGAAGCAGTCCTGCCTTCTCACCCCACTCAGCGGCTCATTCCTGCCTCCATGTCTCCCTCCCTTTCTGCAGATGCAAGCCCTGAAGTGAATCACGTTTAGGAACAGATCCATTTTAGCTTTTAGCCGTGCTGAATCTACCTGCATTCGTGCACCAGTTTACCTGGAGCTGCACAAACGTTCGCCCCAGCACAAAGGGATGCAGAGGCTATAAACCACATCTGCTTCTTTCAGCAGCTGTACCGGCTTAAAAATGATTCATGAAATTATGGCCTGTATCTCCAGATCGAGAAAAGTTTCAGAACGTCTCCCCATTTCACCCTAAAGGCAAATACCATTTGGGAGACAATTAGTTCTTCCCCTCCTCAATTTTACTGAGACATGACTCCAAATATTTCAGCACAAGGCTTAACATCCTGGGAACTGCACTGGTTCCAGGTGCTTCAGCAGTACAAACAATTCTAACTGGGGCAAAGAGCCTGGTCTCCCGTACCCAAAGCAGGCTACAGGGGATTTGCTCTCAGCTTCACCAGGAATTTGATTCAAACAGAAGAGAACTGAACTGAAGAATGCCCGGGGTACACAAGCGTATCAAAAACCCATCTTCGCACTTGGCATGTACCACATGTCAATCCACATTTACATTGCACCAACACTGGTCAGGCACTTCAGAACTTCTGTGTAAACTTCAAATGCTGCAGCTCTCTCCCAAAGCAAACTTGCATAAAAATGCAATTTAAAGTTTTGAGAGTTTTTGTAATAATTTTAAAAATCATACTAATGTGTGCAGCTCTTTGTCCCAGGTACCAGTTACCTACGTACACTGGTTGTGAGCATGATACTGTCTTCAAACCAACAGATCCATTCCACTAACTCAATAGCCGAGACCTATACTTCTGGATCCTGATGCAGAACAGACATGTGAAGCATCAGCACTCTCTCACCAATATGGAAATCATGTGTGGTAACTCTTATTTACTCTATAATAGGTAACAACAAGGAGAAAGCTGCATAGCGAGGCATTTTCACTTACGTGGTTTATATAGAGACTCTTGCGTTTTTCTCTCACTGCAAAAACACAAAATATGATAGAAATATTACATGACTATTTTTCCCGATTAAGCTTCTTACATACCATTTATAATAAAAAGAACAGGAGGCTATCTATGTGCAACATTATAATTGCTTTTGCACTAATCAAGTATAGTTATATATCAAACACAGAAGGAACATATATCTGTATGCATAAAGGCATTTATGCTCACTAGTGTGGTGATGGATTAAAATTCTCATCCATTTGGGTACTTCACCAGGCGTTGGTCCGCATGGGAAAGTTAATATGCAGTAAGCTACAGTCCAAGTTAGCAATGGATTAGCCATCCTTCAGCAGTTCTCTGTGTGAGTACTCCTGAGCCACCAGTGCCTTCGTGCAAGGTACCTTGCTGCAAAGTGGCCTATACTACCTTGCAGGTATGAAAGCACCTAAATAGCTATACCATGGAATTAGCAAATTCTCATCATAGCTTACTGTGCACTAACTCCCATAGAGCAGCCTTGAAACCATATGCATTACATCACTGCCTTCTATAATGATCAGGTGCAAGCCTGAAACTATTATTCATGTCAGATAGAACAATGAAAATATATTACTTTGGTGAGTATGAACCAGTCCCCACAAGCAAGGGTTGCAAGTCAAAGCCACAATTAGCCAAAATATTCAGAAAGTAAACAGCAACAACAAGGGAGATAGATGTAGAGAGTCTTAATTGTCAGGCAAATGCTTATTACAGCTGATTAAATATACTCTATTTAATTTTTTTAAGCACTTTCCCAATTAACTCACCCCATAGAGAGCCTGTGGAGCTCTGTTCCAGTGAAAATACCACAGCATTTAGGAGACAAGTCTGGAGGCAACTAACACATAAATCAAACTGCAGGATTAAAATAATAATGGTTTCATGCTGTAGGTGATTAAATGCACTTTGGTGCACCATGATTTAAAAGCTAAGCAACCCAATGCACTTAGTAAAATAAGGGTGTTCATAATGGTGGGATAGCCTGTCCATTCCCTGTTGGATGAGAAGCCATTTGTGATTTTTTTATAAGCAAGCAATCTCACATAAACAAGGCTGTATGTGTGAATACTGTGAAATAATTGTGTTTAATGCAGACATAAAATGAAAAGAAAATAAGAAAAAACTTTTAAAAATCCTTACATAATTTTCCTCCCAGGGAGCAGAAAGGAGAATCACACATGACAGATGTTAGCCATGTCACTTAGCACATGCTCAGATCCACAATTACGGACATTGTATAAGAAACAGAATTAAACAGGAAGAGCAGGAAAATTCTGATCGTCTAGTAAATGGTTAAACTGCTTGAAATCCTGCTAAAACACTGCACTACACTTAAGTTCCACACACTGCATTTATCATCAGCAAGGGACATAAGTAATCTAAAGGGAAACAACAAAATGATGGTAGATACTCACTTCTAAGAATAGCCAAAGTATTTGTCTAGTATTGCATATAGCAATATACAGGCAGTAAACAATTCTGATAAGCGGCATGTAAACCTAATAGAGTACATAACTGAAAATTAACACCTATTAACTGCAAAATTTTGAACACAGTTAAGTATTTAACAGTGTTTTAATCACAAACAATTATACCGCATACAAAGTTCTTATGGACAAAATCCTATAAAGACAGCCTGCACATACACTCCAAATTCCATTTTAATCACCTTTTTTCCCCTACCTTAGTTTTTCTATTCTGTATTTTCCCTTGTATCCATTATTCAATTCCCCATGAAAGTACAATCACCTATTTACCAAAGCAAGAATATCACTCACAGCTCATTCCCATTTGCTATTTCCAATCTCCAGAAGAATATATTAATGTATTTATACACACCCCTCACTTCTCCCTGCTCAAGCACTGCTTGTGCTGCACGTTCTTCTAAGCACCACGTTGACCTCCTTTCCCTTATTTTCCCCATATAACAGAAATTCAGTTAGCCTGGATTCTCCGGTGAGGGACTACAAGGCGGCAGCTGTGCTTTTGTGCTTCTGGCCCACTCTGCCATAGCGTAAGGCTCAACTCTTTCCAGAACATATGCCGACGGGGAATCGGGCATAGCAGAAACCCATTTTGTCACAACCACTCTCTTTCGTGATCACAACCCTCCCTTTAAACAAGGGAAAGACAATTATTGCACAAGGCAAAAGGCCACTTCTGCCACGCTAAAATGACTGTGAAGAGGCAATTCCATCACTTGGCTTCAGTCAGTTTAAAGATTCTTTGCGCTGCTCCCACAGCACAGTATGGCCTTCAGCACACCAGACCGCAGTGTTATAATTAACTGTCATTTTGTAGGATAAACTCCTAACTGCAACGCCAGGCTTTTGGCTTTCAAGCATGGGGTTTTGATGAAATGAAGCTGAACAGATTTGGAGTCAGTTTAAACAATTCAACAAACTTCTATTTTCTTTCTAACATTTTAGAACTTTAAAGTTGGAATGGAACTCTTCAAGTGGAGACAAATGCTGCCAAATTGTCTTAGTTTACCTCACTTTAAGGTCAATGACCTGTTCCTATTTCTGCAGGCACTTTCAATTGTTCTTGTTGAACTTTTGCAGTAGTAGGAAAATATATTACCCTGAAATAAAAGGGAGTGAGGAAATACACACACACATACACACATATATGTATGTGTGTGTGTATATGTATGTATGTATTTTTCATTGAGCTGTAATAGAAACTTTCTTTGTGCAATTTCTATAGACTATCTTAACGTTACCCATATCAGGATTGAAGACAAAATCCTTGAGGATTACATCAATAAAAACATCTCACATTTTGGGAGTTTGTAAATAATTTCTTTTTGTTTTATCTGAGACAGGAGACTGGTCCTAGTTAACATTAAAGAGTAAGTGCAGCTTACTTCACTTCTATCTACTATATAAATATAATTTCAAAATCCTCCTTGTCTGAAGCCCATTGTTGCACTGATACTGCAAAATTTAACCAGTACATTGAATGTGTAAAGCCTAACGTAAGTTAGGAGAGGTGGACAGCTGTAACCCACTCACAGGAAAGACCGTTACCACCACCCTGAAGTAGAAACCGTTGCCCTCTTGCTGTTTTAAGGAAAGGAAGTTACATTATTGGAGTGCTAAGGTTTGGAAACCCTGGCTTAACCACAACCACACACTAAACAGTCCATGGCTTTTCAGTCACCTAGCCCATCCTGCTTACAGGCCAAACTCAGCAAACAAGGGAGAACTTGCAAAAAGCATTCATAGAAGTTAAAGACATAAAAGGTGATATTCTTTACTAGCTCCCTAAACATCTTACTCATGTAAGATTCAGCACCTAGAAAATTCCCACAAAGAGTTGGAAACATTTAGAAAAGCTACTTTAGTTAGGAATCAAATTAATACTTATTGTGTCTTCAACTTTTCTGCAGATTCATTGAACTCTCAGGTAATAAAGGATGCATTCAGACTACTGACTAAGAAGGACAGGACAGATTTAGATGCTTAGCATGGCATCCGAGCTTCAGAGAACAATGGGAAATTCAGACCACGTAATATCCAGAGATGCCACGTCCTGTCTCATTATATTTGGGGTAGTCAGCCTGTTGCTCTTCACTCACATGTTGATCACAAGCAGGTCAAGCTCAGCTCCTATGCCAGGACAGTACTACAAGATTACCAGTGAGGTTGAAAGAGTACAGGGCTACTAGAAAGCCAACTGTGGAACTGCCTGAAGGTAACGTTGCCAAGTCACTCTAGTACGTACTTACGGACTTGGCCCTTTCCTGCTGTAGAAACACGTGGTGAACACTCAAGTCACAGCCAGATCCTGGATGAAACCTTGAGTCCTGATGTCCCTCAGCTCTCTAATATGTATATTTTAAATGTCTGCAGTTCTGGTCTACAGAAATATTTTCACCTGTAGTCAACAGGAAGGTTTGCCAGCCCAACACCATACAAGTAAGGGAGAGAGGTAGTTACATGCCCAAGTTCGGCATTCTCAACATTGCCAGCTCAGCTCTCCCCCTTCTACATTAACATAAGAAGTCTTGGGGGTCCCCTAGGCTCCACAGCAGGCTGTCAGAATACAACCCTACACACCCTAAAAAAACCTTAACAAGCATTTTATTGCATTTTGGTGTTAGGCAACATCCTTGATTAGTGTGGTAACTCCTACAGCTCACTTGGTTCCACAACGGGACCAAAGTACAGCCGAGCAAAATGCTTACTACTGTGAGTTGTCCCACCGGAACGGGATGGTTCTTGTCAATACATCAACAGATAAATGTTTGCAGAATCTTTATTCTTTTGTACAAGCAAGATAGACTATGTATTTTTTCCACCGTGATCAAGGATAGCTGAACAGATCTTACACTTCTGTTTATAACGTTTCTATATTGTTTCACTAAATACATTGTTCTCACTCAAAAATATGTTCTACGTATGACTTAAACTAGAACAAAGTCTCATAGGCCAACTCTAGCATGGGTGTAAACTGCCATTTTAAAAAATGCTTACAATTAACTACATAGTGTAATAAATTAACCACTATTACTACAAGTAAGAATAACCATCAGGTCTGATCAAAATTTTAGTTGTTGAACTAAAATTTTTTTTTTTTAGTTTAGGGATTTTATTTGTCCTTTTTTTCAACAATCTGTAATGAGAAACATGTAGTATCCATATGGGATTATATAGTCTCAAAACACTATAAAACCACTAGAAAATAGACATCAATCTTCATAATACAGTGTACTATGGCAATATTATCATATTCAATTTACAGACTACCAAACCAGATTAGAATGGTAAATCACATCGAAAAACCACATAATAAGGCATTGACAGAACCAGGGTTGAATTCAGAAGGACAATCTGAAGGGCAAAAGAGGTACTCACATAATCAACTCTTCAATTAGGGCCTAAATGTATATCTCCTCTTTGTTCTAGTCATGCTCAAAAATTAGCAAAAAATATATAGTAAGTGAAAACTACATTATTTTTAAGTGATGTGTTTGACACTGCAATTTACTATGTAAATTAAAAATGGCATTCATAGGCAGCAGAAAGAAGGACAAAGAATTCATACTGAACAGTCAGAATTACAATGTAGAAACTGCTTTGAAAGTCTTTCTAGAAAATAATGTGTTTTGCATGGATTATTCATCTACTTCTAAAACAACATGTCATACATGTCCAACAGGGAATGAAAGAGACAGAATAAATGGCTTCTATTCTACTAACTCTATCAAGAGGCTTGCTTAACAGATGTAATTCCAGAGGGATCATTTGTCTATGAATAAAAAAAATACTCCAGACAAATATATGATTACATCAAATCCATAATGAGAGCAGAAGAGAGAATGTTTGGGTGGGATGGGGGTTGTTTTGTTATTCAAATCTAGTACTGAGCTCATTTACAGTATTCAGCTATATCAGAGGAAAACTGTAGACTGCCTTCTTAGCTAATGTAAAAACTGGCATTTTCTCAAGAAAATACTCCCCACACATTTCCCAGAAGCTTGGCCTAACGTTCAGAGTTTAAAAAAAAACAACAAACAGCTACACAGAAAATTTTGGATTTAGGGAAAATATTTTAAAAATATAATTATATTAAGCTTTATCCATATTTGTAGTTCTGATACAACGACTACTTGGAACTTACAATTTCAGGACATGACAGGACTCAAACCTGTACCTTCTACTACTGATCTGACAACATAATTAACTAAAGGTATGACTTCTTTCAACTCTAACATGATGCCCATAAAAGCCTCTTTTTTTGCAACAGGAATTATATACTAAAAGACTATCACATACATTCTAACAAAGGGTTTAGAGATAACCACAATAGCAAATACTGTAATAAATTCAGTAACCTACCATCTGTTTGTGATTTACTGAGAAATATCGTACTGGCCCGTGGATGATCTGATGGGTTGAATTCCATGTTCAAATCTAGAAAGAAAGAATAGCACAAAAACATTTATGATTATCCAATGGTATACAAAGATTTTCTCATTCTTTTTAAGACGACCAAGTTTACATACTTAAGCAGCTATTGCAAAACAAAATCCATCTTGAGGCCCACTTTTTTATCCTTCTTCACACAAGTGGCTCTTTTTGGCATGCAGATCATTTGCATCAACACAGCTTTGGGATTAGACTTCGATTCTAACGGCTGCTTTTGGATTAAAACAGATAAAGCAGCTTGAGAAGTTTGTACACAAGAAGCCAGGAATTATCCATTTACCATCAGTTTCTTCCCACCGTGCCCCAAAGCCATTGCTAAGCACAGGAACACAGCTTGTTACATGTAATTACAGAAAAATTAAGTATTATAAAACAAATACGCAATCCTCTGTAGATAGATGGTTTCCAAGATTAGGTGTGATTAAAGTAAGTAGTTATTGCAGCTGAATGTAAACAAGCTAAGTCTAGGCCAGAGTGTTTTAAATGGTCAAGATTACAAAAACTTGGAACTTTCCTGATACTTCACAGATGAACATATTCCTTGCTGTGACAACTTCTAAAAAAAACCCCACAAAACAAAACAACCAAAAACCCAAACAAAAAAACCCAAAGCAGTCCTAAAAAATATTTACCAGGTTAAAGACTTGAATTTATCACAGCTTATACAAACTTCTACAAATGTTATTTTCCCGATCGAGGTTAAAATCCATTGAATTTACTTGTTCCCAAATTCCACTCCACTACCAATTTGTCAGAACTCTTATATGCCTGCATCCACTTGAAAGCATGCTACTAAAAATAGCACATCATTTTTTATCATTGTCTTGCTCTCCCAGCGTGGCTATCTCAACCTTAGTTCTCTTACATTCTCTTGATCTCTAGATACACGTTCTCTTGCATTTGATGCAGGCATTTATGCAAGACTACATATGAGCACTGATATGTTTATTTTCTGTGATTATCCGAGGCTTTCTACATTTCTCTCGCTCCCTTTTCACATCTCCGTGAAAGCTCAGCAAAACTGGAAATTAAGCCCCAGGTCTTATGAAAACAAAACAAAGTCTTTTTGCCCAGGGGTCAAGTTGTCCTGTCTACAGCTTTCCCTGTTCCTTCACCATCCATCACCATACTCTCTTCTCCCTTTCCCTTTTATTTACTAATTTACTAGGTCTTCCACTTCCCTGCTTTTTCCTCCTGACTACACACCTCTCTACAAACGTACTTTCTATTTGTATTTTTCCCCTTTATGCTCTCTTGGTTTCCTTTTCATCTCCCTGCATTCTGCAGCCCATGAGATGAGCAGCCCGACATGCTGCTCGTACCTGGACATAACTTCTGGAATAAACATGATCTTACTTACAAGGAAAAACCCAGAAACACAGAAGAGCAATTCCTCAGTTGGAAAGGGAGCTCATTATTATTATCAAACCCACAAAGGAAGAAAAAAAAAAAACCACCTAAGAATTTCAAGGGAAAGTGATTTTGATTCTCCCAGAAACCACAGCTTGCAGCCAAGCTTGGAGAAGATACTAGGAAGGTCATCTTACTACTAGAAGTTCTGACTTGAAAGGACTGTGAATTAGAAAGAATGTTTTCCTGTTACTTTCTGCATCTTATTTAGACACGAAGAAGGAAAAAAGAATCACCCATTGAGACAGATAGTGCTGGTGAAGATCACTTTCCATTTCAGTATAGTTTTTCCATTAAGCGGAATTCAAGATGCAATTCATTAAGTAAAGAGTAATCAGCATTTTAAAATGACAAAATGTCTTTTATCATCCTTGTCATCTTTTATCAAACAGCACAATACATCACCATAAACAAAAAAAAGCCCTTTTTTTGGTTGTTTTTTTTTTTTAAAAAAAACAGCACAGACAATCTTTCTACAAATCTTTTGAAGTACAGGAATGCAAATTCAGTCAACAAAACAGGACCAGCAACATGAAACTGAACTCAACTTACAAAACGCTGCCCCTAAACAGACATGCATTCCTTTCCTTCAGGCCCAGAAAATTATCTGCTTGGGGAGTAATAACAACCCGGTACAGGCTTCCAGTCTGCTTGCAGGGCCGAAAAGAAAGGAAAACCAATTGCCACATCTTGCAGTCAAGTTGCAACTATTTAAGATTCCTGTGTTATAAAAGGCTATTATGCAGAAGCAGTAAACCAACAGAGGACTTAAAAGTCTTTCTGAAAAAAAGCATGAACTACCAAAAAGCACTGGCTCTCAGATAAGCTTATTCTTCAGACAGGAGCTGAAAGCAAGCCAGCAAAATCCAGTATCAGCAGCTGCAGAGGCCAGACCAGGGATTTTGCACCATCTTGGGAGAGGCAGCTACCCATGGCCAAGCAGTGGCCATGTCTCCTCCCCCCCTAAGCACCACGCGTTCTCTTCTCTCCACATCCCTTCTCTCACATCCTCCCCAGCAACCATCAAACACATCCATCTGTCTTTCTCAAACTGCTTGCACAAAAATCAGAGGAGGAGAACATGGGTATGGGGAGCAGCAAAGCCTGCCAGGGCAGGTTACCCAGCACAAGGTGGCCAGAAGAAAAATGCTGCTGAGAGACGCTGGCTCCCCACCACCCTTTGAGGAACTGCATAGGTCTCGCGGGCTTGCAGGCAGAAGAAAGCGCTGTTTGGTGTGTACCTCCAACTCGATCATTCCCAGCTCCTCCAGGGAAAAGCATTACGCAAATCCAAGCATCCCATAGGCCACCTGTGGGACCACACTACTCCATGCCACCACTGCTGGCATACAGGAGCATTAGAATGGATGAAGTTTCATAACACGCAAGTAAGATTTCAGTCTCTGGTTGATCTTAGATGTCTTGACTTATTGTATAACTTGAAAAAAAATGCCTTTTTGAATTTGACAACAAATTCTTACAAAGCTGTCATTAGAAACTGTGTTACAGGAGAAACAGATCGAGTGATATATACATATCTGAAGCTAGTAACTCATCACCAAAGTATCATGAAAAACAGCCACAATATGAAAGGTTTACCAATTTTGTAATGGAATAGTCAAAGAGAGATTTAAGCTCACACAAGCAATACTCTACTATTCAAAAGAGAGGAAAACGAGAGCCAGAATTTCAATTATTGAAATCTACACAAAAATTTTCTCCATTGCTAGCAGTCTGCTCTGTGACTCATCGTAGCCTTACAAAGGAAAGATTTTAAGTTGGTACTTTTTCCAACAGTTACCCTGCACTCCAAAATCAGCTTTTAAAAAAAAGTCACTGTCTCATAGACAGGCCAAATCAAAAATCTTTCACTGTAGATGTTCTTTCCAGTTAAATAGATGTGGAATATTTTCCTACGTCTTTTCATAGTTCAAAGATCGCGTTTTCTTTTTTCAGTTCTAAAGGACTGTTAAGCCATGCAAAGTATAACTCCCATTCTGTAAACACCTAAACAGTGTGATGCCCCATGAAAATTTCAGGGGTTTTGTCTTCTCAGGATTAGGAACCAAAGGTGTGTGTCTACATATACATGTATACATACACATGCATATACCTATATAGTTGTATATTTAAATCAAACCTAATTTTTGGTTAGCCAAAGCAAAGTCAGCCTCAGGTACACTTCAGCTAAGAGATCATGTGCCTAACAGAACTCACACAATTTTGGAGGATTTGGGCAAGACCATTCTTACAAACACATGCAAATACACTTAAGATTGCATTCTCTTCCTTGTTTAGTAGCATGTCAAAATAACAGTTATTATAATGGGCATTCTGATTTATAAAATCAAAATAAATTCACACTCTCTCCAAGAGAAAAAGGTAGATTTTGTATATAACTTAATTCGGTACATAACTGCGCTGAAGTTTAAGACAACCGCTAGAAGACCACAATGAGATTCACCCTGGGTACTGTGAAAAACTCAGTTCCTAAAGCCACAGGAGCTGCATTCAAATATGGCCATAAAAAGAAGCAAACTGTAGAACAGTTCGGTTTCAGACTTGGGCTAAAGCCCAGGCAAGATTTTAAATCTCAAAACAAGATCTTAAAAAGCATTACTGAGACCAAAAATACTGAATACAGCCTCAGTTTGCACTTTTTAGAAGGATAAGAATAAAGTTCAGATGAGTGTAGAAGAGAGCTACAAGAATGACTGGAGAACTGCAGAGAATGCCTTCAAATGAGAGTCTGAATTCAAACTGTTTAGCTGATGAAAAAGGAAAACTAGGAGGTGTCTGTAGTTCACACGTACCTTCACAGAGGGAGAAGAGTAAGTACTAAAAGCTGTCTCTAACCTAACACACAACGTAACAAAAACAGTGGAAAATGAAAGCAGAAACATCTTAATTATGAACTTGGATGAAAAAAAAAAGGGAGGATAATTAGGCACTGAAAGTCCACACCCAAGGAACTCAACTTATTTCGATGTTTTCCCTTTCTAGAAGATTGCTTCAGCCAAACATCTTTAGGCTTTAGTCCAGCATGAGTATTTAGGCTTAATTTAAGAATAACTACATGCAAGTTACTGGCTTATGATTCATATGCAGGTCAGAGCAGATGATCCCAGGGGCCTCTAGCCTAAGTTCTATAAAATCTTCAGAAATAGGAATATTTAAATTATTAAGCACAAAACCTCAGCAAATCCCAGTGGCACATCTGTAAACTTTCTAAAACTGCACCAAACTCTGCTGCAATTCTTCAGAAAGAGCTACGTTTTAAGACTTGTGGTCAGAATATATTATGCAAGATAGAAACAGAAAAGGATGAGACTAAATCTTTCATGGCAAAATTTTAACCAAAAAAAAAGTTTCTTCACCTCATGAATCTATTGAGATAGAAACATGCACCACAGAGGATGAGGGATGGGTGCAGTAGCAACTAACTTCTGAGCAACACATATCAAAGCTTCTGCCTTGACACAAACAGGAAAAACCCACAGTCGCTGCTTTTGTAACAGTGCACGTGGGCTGCAGCACAGGGAGCAGGTCTGAAAATGTGTTTATTCTATCAGA